TGTTTTATGTTCAGTGACATCTCACGTTACAGCTGCTGCAAATACTATATGGGCTAGATGGCAAAACCAAAAGAAAAAAAAGACTGACCTTGAGATGTTTCATTATGATTTCATTGCTTCTAGTGGTTTTATTGGGTTTTACCACTAAGCTATTAAAAACGTGGAAATTACACAGAACTAAGTCAAACTAAATATTTTCACCTCTGATCTTCCATATTCTTTTCCATTAAAATACTTTAAATAGTTCTTTTGTTTTTCATGAATTTTCTTGTAAACTAACTCAAAGTGCAGAGACTTGTGTAGTTCATAGTTTACTGAGAGTTAACTCAGTATGCCCTTCATTTTAGAATAATTCATCCAATCTTCTTTTTTTTTTTTAATAGAAGAAAGCATTTCTCTGACATGAAATCTTTCCTAATCAAATGTGTGGGGAGAAAGGAGTCAAAACGGACAGGAGGGTTTTGCATCCAAAACTGTGGTTGGACCTAGCTCTCGCAGAAAGCTCGGGAAGGAAGTCTCAGAGCTCTCCTCTGCCGGATAGGTTTTCCGCAGCGACTTGGCTTGTTCTGGATTGTTGTTTTCTCACTGGTGCTGTACTTAGGACTAAAATAAGGTCTCATACTGTACTTTTTGCTCAAATAATCTGCACACAGGTATTGGAGGATCATCAGCATCCCAGAGGTTTTGATCCTACCCTCTCTGTAAAAGCAGGTGGGAACCACCCAAGTGAGTCTTCCAAGGCCCGATCTTTGCAGCTGTGGACAATGCGGGGGCATCGTGGGGTAGCAACTCTCCTGTCTTGAGCATGTCAGTAAAACGTTTTGGGTTTTATCCTACTGCTGCAGTTGAGTTTAACAGCCCTGGTAGAGAGGATCAGCACAAACAAGGGGAGAGGTCTGGAGTGCTACGTAAGCCATCAAAGTTAATTTTAATTCTGTAGAAAAGAAATATCCTAAATAAAGATTTTTAAAAACAAATTTCTTTGACTGTCAACAAATACGCAGTTATATCTGAGGTTATAAAAGCATGAGACTCAGATTCATTCCTTGTCTGGAACTGGAGCTGGTAATATAGTAAATCAATGGGAATTTTTGATCAAAACCAACATTCTTCACAGTATCATAATCACATGCTAAAAAACAGATTCTGGAATTACCATGGGGAAAACTCAGATAGTCTGTACAATTATTTACCAAAACAGCCTGTTTCAAACCCATTTAAGGAAGGGCTTCTTTACCAATAGACTGTTTAACGACCTTGGACACTACTGAAGAATTTTTATGGAAACACTTCATATAGTCGATTATTAGAACACATTCATTATCCCCTGCCTCCGCTTACTTCTTACAGCTGGCTGACTTCACACTAGTATGACTCAGAGCTGCAGGGCACACCAATATTTTCCTCTTTTAAGGAAACCGACTTCTTCAGGGAATTTGTACACTGTTTGACATTAGCAACATAATAAAGTGCTGCCACTGGCCTCCATAAATTAATCCCATTAAAAAAGAAACACCTGGAATAAAGAAGGATAAATTATATAAAACTCTAAACATGGTTAAGTTTTTAGGACAACTATTCCCAGATCCAGCAAAAAGGACTCTCCAATATCACTGGATAGAGTGGAAGCAATTGATAGGCCCCGAGGCATGCCACCAGAGTTAACATTCAGACTGCTTTCTGCTGGATCACCGCTTCTTCTGGATGGCATGGCCATAGGTGGGTTGCCTCAAAAAGGAGTGAATCGTGTCAGCTTTCCAAGAGACTGCTTCCCAACAAAAACATTATCTATAAAATATTATGTAAAAGTATTATTATAGATTTCCACTTTTTTGTAAGTCAAATCAATAAGATAGTCATGGGTTGGGTCAACATGGCGACAAAGCTCTTGTAGAGATGGCGACGTGGTAAACTAAGCCGGAACAACTTGAAAAGCGAACGGGTACGAAGCTCCGACTCTGTCTCTGCCAGCTGGCTTGAATCACTAAGTGCGTATAGAGAAGAGCAGGTTGCAGCTCTTTACAGCAGGGCAGACAACATTTGCTCTTATCGTGAAGATTACCTAGCAACGCTGCAGGAGGAAATAACAGAGCATAAAGGCAGTTTTAACAAGATAGGTAGCTACCCATAAAATTTCTGTCTGCTATCTCCGAAAAAGGAGGAAAAATCCTCTGAGTCCCCAAAGCAGCTTCGCTTTCTGAGGAGGAGGAGGAGGAGGACGGTGGTGGCTCTCTCCGCACACCAGGGGAGACTTCATTGCACCTGGGCAAAGCCAGGCTGTCAAGACGCCGCGTTGCTCCCCGACACCAGTAATGGCAGGTTCACTGGGGGCTGCTGCCGATTCCCCTGCTGAGCCAGGGCTTTGCCTCCCACCCTGGCCACATCCCTGACAGAAATCTGGTCAAAAGTTTCCCTTTGGTAGTTTTGGGTTTTTTTTTTCCCCCAAACTCATTTTCCCTTAGAAGAGCATCTCCTTTTTCTGGAAAGCTGCTACTTTTCATTAAACACTCAAACCCCAAATATTTCAACCTAGGGAGGATGCAGCGGAGCCAGAGGGCATGGCCCTCGGGGCACCCTCACCGCAGGGCAAAGGTGCTTCGCCAGCCCCAGCCCCGGGGCTGCTGGCATCCCCCCATGCCACCCACACTGCCGTCGTCATCGCCGCGGGGCCGGGCGCCCCTCCGCTCATGCCACCACCTCGCTCCCCACAGGGGAGCTGCCAGGGATGGGCCCAGCAGGTCCTCAAACCTCAGCAGAAAACGCAATTCTCCTTGGTCATTTTTGCCCACAAGCCCCCCAGTACCAGGTCCCCAGAGTTACCTGGCAGAGACGCTGGGACAGGGCACCCGGGGCAGTGGCAGGGCACTAGCACTCAGGGCCCCAACCCAGGAGGTTTGGGAGCTGAACCTGGAATAAAAACTATTTTTGGCACCCAAAGGGTCTTTCACAGCCTAGGCGCCGCATCTGCACCCTCGTTGCACTGAAAAACTGTATCTGAGCTCAAACAAATCCCAGTTTTTCCCTCTTTTGTGTTGAGGAAGCGTGGCCTTTGAAAGAAAAACACCAAATAAACTCAGATCTCTGTTTGCCTGAATACCAGGCACGTGCAAACGCGTACTTAGAAATTAAACTGCCAACTGAGTATTTTAGATTTGAAGCTGTCACTATCCATATGTATATCTAAGTATTAGGAGCTTTCTCTTCCTCTTTTCCCTGAAATCTGAGCAATTCAAAGGAAGAAAGTTAAATGAAAAAGATGGCTATGTTGTCTCTTACTGGTCCACCTCTGCGGTCTAAGGAGAGGCCAACTTCCCAAGTCTCATCTTCAATAAAAGGCATAATTTAAGGAGCCCCTGTCCCTGGGCCCTGCGCCACTGAAGGTCTGGGTTGGCCTGGGGCTTACAGGCATCATCTGCAGCAAGGAGAAACACAGGGGCTTAGTGCCATGGATGTCTGACTTGGCCCTACCATCTCTCATGGAGCCTCTTATCCCTGTGAAATTAAGAAGCAAACCCTACCGCCTTGGTTTGACAGATTAATGTCCAATTTGTATAGGTGCTAATGATGATACCTGATAAAGAGAAAGGAGGATTAAGCCTATGATTCTCCCTCATCATTCTCTTACAGGACGATCAAAAGACAGGTGGTTTTGAGGCTTTTATTTGGGGGTGGAATAGGGTGGTGCGTCTCTTTTTTTTTGCTGGGAACCATCCCTTTTAAAGGACAGATTCAGAGTGCAGGTATTTTGACATAAATAATAAAGAGTTTCTTAGATTTCATTGAAATTGCTTCAGACTATACTGGTCTACAGGACACACTTCAGACAGGACACACCTTAAACTGTAGACAAGCTTCCTTCATTCAATGCCTAAGAAGTTTGACACTGTAAATATGACCTTGAAAGCTTGGGCCTGATTCTACAAGGTGGTTAAAGGCACCTGAGCGGCATCCAACACACCAGGCTCTCAAGCAGTTCAAAGGGAGTCTGGGGCATCTGACTGCTCTTGAGATCACAGCGCAAGAGATGCAAGTTTGAAGACAATCAAAGGGTTGTGTATAAAACTGTACAAATCTACAAATTCTCAACTTATTTCGGAATACAGTAAGTTGGGTTGTTTCACCGAAGATTGGCAAAGCTGCCACCAGGCTTTGCAGGGGATGGGATAATTGATTTGATCTATGTTCTGTAAACGTTCTACATATAAATCTATTCCAAAAGTCAGCTGGAAGGGTATTTCATCACTCATCTGCATACCTGATATTCAAATATGTGTTTTCTTGTAATTATTTAGGGCCAGGCTTTTGTTTGGTTCAGGAAGTAACTCTTCCTCCTATGATCCGTGACCGTGTTGAATTGCCTAAGTTGGAAACTGGCAACTTGCAGTTACGGTCATGTGCTACAGAAATCCAAAGGGAGAGTGTGGAACTAGATCTTCTCCAGCAAGAAAAACAGCTGGTGAAAAGTTAAGTCAACTATATCCGCAAGTAAATCCTGGAATACACTATGCAAAACAACACGTGTTCAACCAGAAATCCTCATAAGAATAAACCATTTCCTCAAACTGATCAGCTCGCTCAGATGAAGGACATTAAAATCAAATAGGAAACTTGCAGTCCAGGTACCTCTAAAAATTTTCTACTTTTCCTCGATTTCTTTATTTTCCATGATTTCAACAGGAGCTGAGAATACTCAACGTCATAAAACAGGAGAGGCTTCAAGAGAGTAAGACAGCAGGCACAGCCTCCCGACTTGAACTAAATATGGAAATTTCTCTCGATGCTTAACAGTTTTCTCCTAAGACACTGACACTTTCACTTATCTCTTTTGCTTCATTAGTCTCACTTAGTCTCTTAACATGGATGATAAACACTACCTGAAAAATTCTACTGCATATATTATACTGCATACTGTTACTCAGTCTGCTGGACACATTTTCAGAGATATTCCCACAACTGTCACACGGACGAACAACAGCAAGACAGAAACTTTACCGAAGCTCTGGAAGGCAGACATATAGTTCTTTTTATATATTCACAAGAACAATTGTTTTATCTTAAAACCTTTCTAAAATAGGCCTATACTGCAAGCTTTGGCAGTAGGAATAAAATATTATGGGATCCAGCCTTACTTTGTTTTTCTCATCCAAATATACACATTGTTCTAACAGAGGAATGGATTCATCCACAGTGGTGGTTGTTACTGCTGCTTGATGACCAAAACGCCTCATATACTGCTCCATACATGAAACTACCGCAAACATCCATCTTGTCTGATCAATAACAGCTTCTTTGGATTGGCAGAAAAGAAAAGAAGCATATACATGGTTCACTTAAAATGGAGTGACAAAGACAGCATTTGAAGGCATGTGTTCAAAACAGCCCCATATTGTTATTACAGATGGTAACAGCGAAGGAAGAGAAACAGAAGAAACAAAAGCCAGCTTTTGTGAGTTCCAGAGCAATCCCTTATGATCCTGGGTCTTGAGCAAGATGGTGTGGAAGCTTTGGAAAGGCATTCAGGGTCTCTCCCTGAATAAGGCACTGTTAACATGCTGTCTTCCATGAGCCTGGAACAGCGCCATGACAGTTTCCGTGTAATTCATTGCACATTTTGCTAAGTGTTCTCTGTATATCTATATAGATATATACACACAGAAATATATGTAATTTTCCATATGCTTTCCTGCAAAAAATTAGAAAAACAAAATCAGTTGCATAACAGCATATAGGATACAAAATATGCAAAACAATATCTGCTGACAAGTCACGTGTGCCCCAGACCAAACGAGAGATGTACTGATTTTTGAAGTTAAATATACTCTAAGTTAGTAGCTACAAATTACTTGTTTTCTCACAAAGTTTTGACATAGCACAGGCAGGAAACATTTGGCTTTCCAAGTAGCTTCTGCTCTTTTCAAGATCCAATTTTTTTTTCAGTGTGTTAGGACTACTCCTAGCACTTTCTTGGGTCGGTCTCCATGACAAAACATTGATTAGGGACAAAACTAAACATTGATTTTCAAGTCTTGAGTTCAGCTCTACAGAAGTAGAGTATAGCGTCTTGAACCTCATCATCTTTCTTGCATATAAAATACTTCTTTTAAAAGATGCATACTGTAGAGCAAATAAAAATCTATGTTCTTCAAACACTGTTCTTCCTCCATCTTTTCTTCTGCAGTTGAAAAGAGAAAGAGGTTCAAGTAGAGAGATCAAGTGGCTAGGCAGACTGGTTACGGAATACTGAGATCTTAATTTCAGGATTATCAGTTCAGAATCAAAGTCAGCAGCAAACACAATCTGTAATTGGCCAGAGGCTTTTCAGTGTATCTGGATGAAGTGAGCAACAGACCTTCACCTAGATCTATCAATAGGGCAAGCGAAAAAGCACAGGCTGCTGTGAGAACATAAGCATTGCTGTCCTGTACCGGGCATCAATCCAGCCGTACATACGGTCTCCAAATGTGATCTGAAGTAGATACTCTTTGCTTAAGAAATATGCCAAGCTCTTCACACTCCTAGCAGACCGTGATTTAAGGACTGCTTGAGAGAGAGGATGCATCTTAATGTCATGTTTAACAGACACTGATGGGCCTATTTTCTTTAATTTGTCTAATTCTTTTTAACTCATTTTTGGCCTACATGGTCCTCTGCATCAGTGAACTCCCCAGTTCATTCTTTGTTTTCCTTTTGTTTTGAACTAGCTGCTCAAAAATATCATGAAATGCCTTTTCATTCTTCTGTTATCAGAACTAGTAAATAACAGCCTCCATATTTATCAGCTATATTTGCGTAAAGGCAGAAGCATATATATATATATATATATATATATATATATATATATATATATATATATATATATATATATAAATATATATATATATATATATATATATATACACACACACGCATATACATATATACATATATATATGTATGTATGTATGTATGTATGTATCTTTTTTTTCCCCCATCCTTCTGATTCTGCCATTCCTGGTCATGTTTTAGCAGAAGGTTTTGGCTCTAGGACTTGGATGCCTACTCTTTATGAGTTATCTTATACCTTCAATCATATACTTGTAAATTGAAATTATTTGCACAAGGGTCTGAGAATTGGATCCATGATTTAAATAAAGTATAGTTGTTACCTTCCATGTGATGTGCTTGTGGGAGTTCACATTTTATCTCGGTTCTTCTTCCACTTCCTCATCTTCCATTTCCTCTTCTGAATCATCCTTATTCTTTGAAGTGTTACTTAATTCCAAGTTCCCTTCAATATCCAGTACCTGTAAGTGCTTCAGGCTTTGGAAGATACGTTCCTTCAGTGCTCCAATTGCAATCTTATTAAACCTTTAAATGAACAAAAAAAGACCTTCCTGTTAAAATAAGCCTGTGTTTATATCCAGCACAGAAGTGTTTGGAGACTAGGAAGAAGCCATTGTGCAGAGCTACTCGGACTTCACACTGACTCATGCCAGGACTCTGGAAGTAGCAGCACTTCTAAAGAAAGCACCATTGCTAAAAATGCCAGCATTGATTTCTTCTCAAGTTGAAGCAAATTTTGAAACCAGGCATATGAAAAGATAATTAAATTTCAAGTGTGCCTCCAGTGTGCAAGGGTCCTGGCTGATGATAAAAAGCTGAAGCTCATAATCAATGTTCCTGCCCCCTCCCTTTTCTTTTTATTTGGACACACTGGTTTGCAACACAGACCAGAGTATTGACTCCTCTGGATGGAAAACAAAGGGAAAGATTAGCAAGCAGGCACATGCAGGGACCATACAAAGCTTGCTGACACCAGTCTGCATCATCGCAAAGGACTTTGTAGGAAAATACCGGTAAGCATTAAGTCATTCCCACTGATTTCAGCTGATCAAACTCTCAAAAAGACTCTTTCTCTTCTCTGTCCCAGGCCCTCTTACCCATTCTATAACTGTGCACCGTAAGGAAAAAAAAAAAATCATAGTATTGGAATTCCTCCCCGACAGATTCTTTCTTTTGGCATTCTGTTTTCCCACAGAGGAAAAGAATCTGCTCCATAGCCCACATTTCAAAGTGTAACTTGCTTTTCCAGGAGATCCCATGTCATCCCTTGACACTTTAATTCTTATCACATGATACCTGAAATACTGATACAAAGTATCCCTTTAGAAACATACCCAATGCAGTAATTTTTCATCTGTTATTTTTGTTTCCAAGAATGTAAACAAACTAATTTGTAATTTAAGAACCCCTCACATTTACTGCTTGGTCCTTTACTCTTGAACATGCTTAAAATTCTATTTTAATACTCCAGTCGTATATTATTGTTTTACAGCATTACAGTGATTAATAGTCTCCCATTTCCCCTTAAGAAATACAACTTACCCTGGGTGGAGTTGCCTCCTAAATATGTTAGCAAAACAGTTTCGCAAATTTCTTTTTTCTTGTTATGTAGAAATATAGCATGTGGTTTCTGGTTTGCTTCCAAGTGTTCACTAAATTCTCATAAAAGTGAGCAGCTGGATAGACAGACTGCTCTAATTTACACCAGACATTTTAATTCTATTTTTTTGGTATGGAATCACTCCTCCAAAAAGGGATGATTCAGAACCATAGAACAACTTAGTTGCAGACAGACAAAACAAAGCCATATTTAGTTTCATGCCACAGAGTATTTGGCTTTTGAACATATCCATAGAATCAGCTTAATCAAATATTCTGTAGGGTTTTATGAATTACTTCTAAACAATATTTTCAATAATGTTCCATTAGATTACAATCGACTACATTACTGGGCCAGATTCCGGCTTCACTTCTTGTGGCGACAATCCTGAATAACTCCGCTTAAATCAGTACATTACTTAACTTTACATTGTATGTAACCAAGGTCAGTATCTGCCACCTATAAAACATATAGTTTAACAAACAAGGTCCTCATCCAACAGATAAGAGTAGGGAGAGAAAAAATAAAACAGGAAAGCTTTCTAAGCTTAGTTATATAACTGTCATAGTTGTATACTGTTATTTGCTTCTGACAAAACCATCAAGGGAACACACACAACTTCAGTTAGTCCCATTAGTGGGGGGGGTTTTATATAATATCAAAATTCAGGTCTAACAGACACAAGCAAAGCTGAAGTCCTACAAGTGGACTGTAAACTTTTACCTCATGGCTGAATATTGGAATACGACATAATGTTGAACATTAATTTCCCAGAATTTCCAATACGCCTGCTCCATTCTAATAAGCACAGAAAAGACAGACTCTGCAAACAGAGTTCCCCTGTCTTTTCTGAGCAGATGAGCATAGTTTCATTATATATTACTACAAAAATAAGTTACTTGTTTAGAAAGTTAAGATTTTTAATACTTTTTAAGAAGTAAATTATGAAGTGGATATAGAAGAAAAATCTTGTGTGTTGAAGAAGAAACTTGAGCTTACCTGAGGTAAATTCCTTTTATGTTGGGTGTGGATTCAAAAGCACTCTCTGAAACCGTTGTGATCTTGTTGTTCTGAAGATACAGGTATTCTAGCGATTCTGGCAGGCCTGATGGGATAGAAGTTAGCTGATTGCCAGCCATGTCTAATGACTGAAAGGAAGAGACAGCAAGGGGTTAAATAAATAAATTTAAATACTAGTAGTACTGAGCATGCTCCATCACTCACAGAAAGAGATTTAAAATTAACACTGAATGAGCTTCCATAGGATGGCTGTATACGCACCCCCCAACACCTCCCCTTTGGAAGCTTACCCCATTGGTTTATATATATATATTTTTTTTTTTTACACGTGTGTGTATGTCTATAAGTATGTATGTACAAGTACACGTTTGCGTATATAAGAATGTGTTCTATATACACAAACATATGTATACATGTATGTGCACCTATATATTTGCTATATATACTACATTTTAAAATATACATTGCATATATTAATTTATATTATCACGGAAATAGCTAGCAAGCAGAAAAATCAGGAGTGAAAAATCTCCAAGTTACACGTGGATATCTCTGAATAGCAGAGTTACACTTCTGCAAAATCTATGATGATTTCAGTGTTTTTGTTCTCTATATAAGTCCAGTCTGGCAAACAATTATGCAAACGCCTAGCTCTAACTGCAGATAGCCTTCCGTGATTTCCATGGAAAAAGTGCAGACCAAAGCATATGTTACGTACTGCAGAATCAGGGTCTTAGGAGATTGCTATTTGTCAAATCTCCTCTGGTGCACCAACTCGTTAACTAATTGCACAGTCAAGCCCTTAATGATAACAAAGATTCACATATACTATCATGAAAATAACTAACAAGCAGTAATATGTTTCAGAAAAATCAACAGCCAAAAACGCACCCTTAATCTAACAGAATTTTTTAAACGCGCTATTATCTTCGCCTCGTTTAATATGAGCAGGGTTTACCATGGGGCAGTTACAGCTGAAGGCCTGTTCCATCTTACGTTATTTGCACACTCGCACACGCACATCACTGAAGCACCAAACAAATGCTAAATACATCACTAAGGCCACAGAGCAGATCTACAACTGATTTAAACCAACAGCTCTACTGACTCTGTTGCTGCATCGCTGACTGTTGTTAACTGAAGGCCAAGCTCCTACTTAGTGCCAGATAACACGAAAAGAAATGTGTGCAAAGACAAACGTCTGGATTGTCTGAAAACGCTTATACTGGAGGCCAGTGTGACATACGCTCTGTGTCCCTTATCCCTGATCTGCTCTCAGATATACAGGCTTTGTCTGCACAGTGACCTAACCATATGTGCCCTAGATGGTTGCCATATGATATAGGTAATGCCTTTTACTGCAGGAAACAGGCTGTTGCCTAAAAGGAAATGCAGACAAATCCTTCAGCCAGAGTAACAATCCTGAAAGGACGTTTTGCACAACACAAATGTGTTTGTTCCTGCCTGCCTTATGGTTTGTGTTTAACTTTCCCCAATAATTAAGCAAATGACAAGACTGCTGATTGAATCCAGACCCCCGAGCTGCTATCCAGGTGCTTTAGCCAGCTGAGCTGCTAAATCCTACAGCTTGGCCTGTCTGACTATAAGCTGATGTGGGGGCTTTGAGAATTAGAGAGTCTTTTTGTTTATGCATTCCTTCTTCTTGCTGTCTCTCTTCAGAGCTCATTTAAAAATCTTTTGGGAGATCAGCTATTTGAAAGGCATGATTTGAGTTTTAATGACAAGATCCATGAATGTTTAGCTGAAAATACTGGATACCATTAGAGTTTAGATGCAAAGATGGCTCTACATCTCCTGTAAATACCGGTACAATGGTGCACTGACATTCTGTTCAGCTGTGGGAGGTGCCCACCTCCGGCACAAATGTTTGCTAAAGCAAACACCACACCATTTCTACTCTGGAAACAGAGAGCGTAGCAATTACTTTGCAAGCCCAAAACATGAGGACCAAGTGCACCTAGTACTGGTGCTACATAAATTGGCTTAGGCAGACAGATGAGGACATCAGTATTACCAATATAATTAGAGAAGGTGATGTGTCTACCTGGAGACTGCTGAGTTCTCTCCATGCTCTTGAATAAATGGAATTTACTTTCAGTTTATTGTTGCTCAAATACAGTTCTCGCAGTTTTGTCATCCCAGACAAAGTCCCTTTTGGGATGACGCTTATCTCGTTCTCCTTCAGCTTCAGAATCTGCAAGTTCTTTGGAAAGCCGAAGGGCACTGTGTGGAGATTGTTCCCAGAAAGATCCAAGGACTTTAGCTGCCTCAGTTTACGGAAGGCCTCCCGATGGATCTGGGGACTTTTGAGCTTATTGTAGCTCAGGTTCAGCTCTTCAAGAAAGTAAGTGGTAGCAAAGTCATTCCTGTTAATCTCAGAGATCTGGTTATGAAGGATCATAAGTGTTTTCACTCGCCGGGGCAGCCCACCAGGAATCCTCTCCAGCATGTTGTTGTACAGGTGGACAGTGTGCAGCTTCTTTAAGCCCTGGAAGGCTAACGGGTGAATCCCTCGGGCTTTTAATTTGTTATTGTGGAGCAGAAGGTACTCAAGGTTCTTAATTTGGGTTAAGACATCTCTGCCAATCATCTTAATTGCATTCTTCTCCAGGTGGAGGAGTACGATGTTTCGAGGTAAACCACTTGGGATTTGTGAGAGGTTATTGCTGGACAAATCCAGATATTCAAGACTAGACAATTTCCTTGGGAAATCAGGAAAGAAAACACTCTTCATTTAGACTCCGTAAGGTGAAAAGATAATCAACTTCCCCTAGATTTTTACAATCTTTTTGACTGATGTGGACAGCAAAATAGGAAGCTCCCACACTGCCATTAAGGACTAGGCTCGTAAGCCCCACTAGCAAGAGAACCTGCTAGAGTTCACAGACATCCAAACTCTGCCACTCAGCTGAGACCCGAGATCAGTTCTACAGTCTACTGTTCTCTCGTTTGACACTACAAATAACAGCAAATGAGCAATTTAAGTGCATGAATACCAGACGAAAAGAAGAAAGAGGTGCAATGGGAGCACCATTAAAACACAGAATTTAGGTCTCAGTTTCACAGAACCATACCTTGAGCAAGAGTAATTTCTGTCTCTCTGAAAGGGTATATTTAAACTGGAAAGTAGGCCTGCTTTTGAGAGGATGAAGTATTACTCTTTGGAAAAGCAGAAATACTAATTCAGTGTCCTAGGCTAAGATCATGAACTTCTCCTGACCCTCCAGTATTACGGAAGTGAGTCAGGGCTAGATCTGCTTTGTGTAAGCTATTGAATCTGGATTGCATGGACTCAGTTGAAGCTAAAATAAATCCTCCGACCAGCCACTTATACCAACTAGATGTGGATCAGTGGTATTACATATCCCAGGGCTGAGGAGCTCTGTATTTCCTTGTATTTCAAGGCATTTTCCCAGTTTATATGAGACAGTAATCTGCATGGCATTACATAATCCACTGCAGGTGACTAGAAAGTCTTCAAGAAGTATGAGAACTAACATATTACAGACATTACTTAGTGATTACTTCAGTGCTATTCAGAGATATCCAAGCATGCTCTAAATAAGTGAATATAGTCTGTGGGTAAGGCACTTCCTTGCTGCAAGCAGAAACACTTTCCAAGCTTGGGTACATCTGAATAGCACTATTCTGCGCTGTACAGACAATCCTGGAAGAATAAAGAGTAATACCCACCACCTGTGTGGACTGTGACCAGTGCCTTAGGTATTGCCACTGAGATCAGTTCATCCAAATCTTAACAGAAACGTTATGTCCAACATTGCCTGGAGACTGACATAACAGACCTAAGGTAGACTACTAAGTGAAGTTACTGGGTGTGAAATGTGGAAGAGGAAGGTACGGCTTGATATATTTTCATCTCTGGTGATCAGAAAAGTTTACAGAATTCACAGCAAATTACAGGACAGATTACATGGGCTGGATTTTCAAGCACAACAAGGGCAATGCTCAGTGCAAGCAGAGAAACAAAGGTACCTTTTTGAAGTGCAAAGTCCCAGGCCAAATTTAGGACTGCCAAAAGCTATTTCAGCTGTACCAGTTTGCAACAAAGCTTTTGCCTCCATTCAGCAACTGGGCAGCACTATTGTATGCCCGCCTCCTCCAGCATACTTTTTTTTTTTTTTTTTCAGTAGATACACTATATCAGAGGAGCTAGACTGACACAAATACAGCAGCAAACTACCAATCTGAGCCTCACCAGAAAGTTTCATTGTCCATTCCTTCATTAGTCAAGTAGTTATTCTGTAAATACAGCTCCCGCAGACCTGTAAGCTCACTGAAGGCTCCTTTTGGAATCTTCTCTAGCTTGTTGTTCTAGAATCACAAGAAGCACAAAGCACATTACTTGGCATGAGAGAACTTAGGACATGGGCTCTGCTTAGCTAACACCAGGCAATGAAATTTAAAAAGAGCTAGAAGTGAGATATTTCAGGGGACATTATAATTCTGCATAAGAAATAAACACAAATGGTGGACTGCCATATTAGAGCCTCTTTTTATTCCTTTCCCATGGAATCCTTGGGATAAGGAGTTAGAATTTGGCCCATTAGGAGGGTTTTATTTAGTATTCATAATCCTTCATAATTCATATTCATAATTCTTCCACCTGTGTGCAAATTTATAGTGTAATCTAGGCAACTAACTCCAGAGTTTGCTCAAAACGTCTAGATTTCATAAGCCGTATTTCATCATAAAGAAGAATTAAATTGGAGGTTGGGAACCTCCCAGCCTTCCACTATTAATGATATTCCAAAATGTACAGTTCCCGCAACGTAGATTCCAAAATAACTACACTGTTTCCCTTAGTGTGGCTTTGGAGCAGGCAGCAGGCAGACATGATCAGAGTAAGAAACTAAATTCTGTTATAAACAGGAACTGTATGAGTTATAAATGATATATAAAGCACTAACACTGAATTTGCTAAACTTCCCACAGGTCAAGTATATGCAATGACATGATGGACAGACTGGACTAGATTCATGTCCGACGTAATATAAACTGGGTACCACAACAGATAGATTGGGCTTAGTGTCTGAATGAATAATGAAAGCCAAAGAGAGACCTGTCACATCTAAAGTAACTCCTTTCATCGCTTTTGGTCCACTATTTGCCATCTCCCATTTCCTCACTGTCCTGTTTTCTTCCAATAAAACACCAAATTAACATGTTTCTACTGACAGGCAATGCACTTGAAAACAGAACGCTCATTTCACTCCCCAGCTGCTTCTTTGCCCTTAACAAAACTGGTTGGGGTTGGAGGGAGGGTAAGAAGAGTTCCAATTACAAACTTCAAAGTCTGAGTCTTATTTTGGGAGACAATGACTAATACAAATGGCAATAATACTTAGGGGTTTAGTAACTTCACACTTTGGAAAGAAATTCCAGCAATTTAAAGGATGAGACCTTTTGCCTTCGCTTTTCTTCAAGCTGGAGAAGCCTGTTTTCTAAAGGACTTTCATGGGAACTAGCAGTGAAGCCTTCAAGGAAAAAGAAAGCTGGGAGGCAAAAGAGAACTGCCTAAGTCCAGGGGCTGATAACAGATTTCAGTCTACTCACGTCCAGGGAGCTGTCAACACTAGGAACAAGCAGAACCAGGATTCCCCACCGCTGCGGCTCTCTCATTGTTAAAAGGCTGAGAACTCTAGCACAGACACAATGCAAGTGTTTTTATCGAAATCATATGACGTGGAATTAAAAATGCTGGAGACTAGATAATACCACAACTTCTGCTACTGCACTATTGCTGGAGAAGTTGTAGCAGTGAAGAATCACTGATCCAGACTTTCTCTGTGTTGACAGAATTGTCAGTTCAGTAGCAAACAAAAACTACCGATGCTAGGAAACAGCAGTCTATGTGAAATGAACTACTAAGCAAAGCCAGTACTTGTCAGGTGTCAGGAAAAACACCATCACCAATGGCAGACTTTGCAAGGAGGCCAATCACTGAATGACTGTGCAAAATGATCTACCTTCTCATGCTAATGTGTCATCTCTCCAAATCAGGGTGGCATGAAAAAACTTGCACTGCCTTTGTCATGATGTGCTGCTAAATGATTACTCCTAGGAAAGAGACCAACAACGCTACCATGCAAGCATCTGCAGTACATTCCCCTGGAAACAGAGAAAAGCATTTTTTACCCTGTGAACATTTTGCTGTTTTGCAAAAACACACTACTACTAATGAACAGAACAGTAAGGACATAGGAGATCAGCTATACTGGAGAATACAGCAGCTGAGTCTTATAGTGGGCCTGGGAATGTTTCCAAGTGAACTCAAAGGGCTTGGCTGCGTACTTTGAATCCCACACAAGCACAGTACTTTGTCACAACCGTAAGAGAATACAAAACCTTGGCGTCATTACCTTTAAGTGTAATTTATAGAGTGCTGGAGGGAGATTCTTTGGAACATATTTCAGGAAATTGCTGGACATGATGAGTATCTCCACATTATTAGAGCCATTGAACATATTATCAGGTAACCCAGCATCTGAAAGTTTGTTGTTATGAAGATACACAGATCTACCGGAAGGAGAAAAAAGATGAAGTTAAATAGATAGTGAGATGTGCTTTTTTATTTACCAAGTGAAAGCCATTTAAAAACTGTATTTCAATCTTTTCTTCTTTCCTTGGGATAATTAAATTCATTTTTAAATGTGCCATTTTTTATTTAGTAAGCAATGCACCCAAACCCAAATGCCTAGCCCAAACACTCTCTGAAATTTTGGTCCATTCAAAATCCAAACCTGAATGTGGATATGAATTTCAAAACTGCCTCACGTTTACAAGAAACTGAACTCAAGTCTGGGATTGTGCAAAGCTTTGAAATCTGAATGCAGATTTCACAGTTTGAACCTAGCTTTCTGTTTAGGCAAGAGGCACAAAGAATACATTGGAGTGATGGCCTCATTCAGGAGGGACAGAATTCATATCTGATTAGTAGATACGCCCCCAAATTTGACTTCTGTTTGGAATCAAATCTGGACTTCTGGAGCCTGCAAAAATTGACCTGCAGAGTTCTTGAGGAAGGGCTGTCTCATACTTCTCCGTTCTTTTTGCTCCCATGAAAAATGGAAATACCCTGGGAGCAGTTTCTCTTCTTTCCCT